GATGAAAAAACCTTCATTGTCATGGTTCAGTAGGATGCCAAACCCTTGAGATTGAGCTTTTTGATTCAGTAGGATGTCATGAAAAAACCTTCAAGGAATTTGATTTTGGGTCCGATCTTGTGATTGAGCTTTTTGATACCGAGATATGGCTTGAGTGGCAGAGTTTTAATGACCGGGACGGCGGGACCCTTGAGATTGAGCTTTTTGATTCAGTAGGATGTCATGAAAAAACCTTCAAGGAATCTGATTTTGGGTTCGATCTCGTGATTGAGCTTTCTGATACCGAGATATGGCTTGAGTGGCAGAGTTTTAATGACCGGGACCCTTGAGATTGAGCTTTTTGATTCAGTAGGATGTCATGAAAAACCTTCAAGGAATCTGATTTTGGGTCTGATCTTGTGATTGAGCTTTTTGATACTGGGATATGGCTTGAGTGGCAGAGTTTTAATGACCGGGATTTGGGTTCGATTCCTGCAAAATGGAAAGGGCAATGCGTGACGACGAAGGATTTTGGATCAAGTTCATGTAATAAGAAGCTTATTGGAGCGAGATTCTTCTACAATGGGTAAGAGGCAACGAACAGGAAGATGAATGAAACCTCGGAGTACAAGTCGCCAAAAGATTGGTGATGTGGGGCCCATTTGAATAGATTTGTCTTTTTTCAGTGACAGTAACATTATGTGGCAAAACATTTTATCCATATCATCATTTTTTTAAATTTTACCCTCCACATCATCAAAAAAAAATATAAAAAATGCCACATGGGTGGAGTTAACGGTGGAAATTAACAGAAGGACTAATGGTGTGCATTTCTTAGAGTTGAGAGATCAAAAAAGTGCAAAAAATTGTTAAGGGATCAAAAATGTTCATTTTTTAAAGTTGAGAGACCAAATTAAGCATTTAACCTTGTCGGATATAGGAAGGTTAGTAAGAAAAAAAAAAAAAACAATTTCTAACATTCTACTGGACTGTGTTTGGTGGCGTACTCTTTTGGGAAAAACATTCCAGAGAAGCCACACAAATTTCGCACAGGCTTGGCTTGACAATCTGGCTACAAAAATTAAGAATAAAATAAAATAATTTTTTTAATATTATAATCAATTATAATAGGGATTAATTGATTATATATTTCAAAATATATTTTTAGGACAAAAACCCCAAAAAATTACTTTCTGGAAAAAAATGATTAAATATAGACATTTATCAAACAATAATAATGGATTATATATTCAACACTTTCATTTTTCCCAAAAGATTTTAACCAAACCAACCTTTTTTTTTTTGGCTTGACTTCCAAGGAGAAAGTTTTCCCTGAGAAACTTTCCATGGAAAGTTTGCAGCCAAATAGGCTAGTGTTTAACATAGGATCATCATTGGTGTACACCTGAATTTAACACTCGGGTGTACACCTCCCACATAAAAAAAAATGGTATGCACTCAGATCTATTTTTTCTTTACAGGGGGTATGCACACCCGAGTGTTGGATCCGGGTGTACACACATCATTTTCCTTTAACATAACAGATGATAAATATCTACGTGCATTTCGTGCTCGAAATATGTACTCCCTTGTATATAACAAAAGTAACTCAAGAATACCCATGGGTAAATGAATTAACAAAGGATTCTTTCAACTTAATTAAAAATCTTGATTTCAAATCTTAAAAATACAACTTCGTTAAAAACTTGTGAGGGAAAGCTTTGTTGTCAATTGAGTTTTATCCGACTCGAATCTAGATTAATCGATGACCCAGTAATCTGATATTGGGTAATCCATATATATATATATATATATATATAAAAGTAACTCAGGAATTGGAGCGTTGTGACGTTAGATCATTAAAGCGATAACTTCCTAGACCAGAAACAAAAAAATAAATTTCAATACATAGATAATTTAGGTGTTTGAACCCTGATGAGAAATCGTCTTCTATCAATAATTTCGTTAATTATTTTATAACGGCCTTCTTTAACTATTAAAAAAAATCCTTAATTATAACATTATTTTAACACAAACTATTATAATAAAAGATGTAATAAATATTATTTTAAAATAAACCTTCTAGTGGGATGATGTTATTACCACAACCTTAATTACTAATACCACATCTTTTTATTTTAATTGATCATTATATCATTTAACTTATTAATAAACAAAAAATATAATTTTTTAAAAAATATATATATAATATAAAAATATAATAAATAATAATATATATAAATTATAACATTAACTATTTAAAGTATAATAATCACCTCACCCTTGAAAGGTATCACAATTTATAGTGCTCTTCAAGAATTGAACAACTTTAAATTAAATCCCAATGCAATTTAATTAAAATCAAAGTATTTAATTAATTCCCTAAAACATACACTGCGAACAATAGAACATCATAAAGTCATTAAAGAACAGAGAGTTAAGAAAGCAAAATTATTCCCGAAGGAAATTTTCCTTTCGCCTTTTTCTTTTTGGTTAAACGCACGGTCATCATCTCCTTCTGCTTTATAGCTTCAATGTCAAATCCAATGATACTGCATCAAAATCTGATCTACCTTTATCATATTCAGGCTCCCTCATATTCTCCAATTGAATCAGAAACGGTTTGGTGTGGTCATTAGAAGGAGAATGCTGCATAGTTGTTCTCTGTTGGCGCCCCTGGTAGCCAGCATAAGGAGCTACTGCAGGTAGAAACTGAGGCTGTGGCAGAGAAAAATGGTGGTTGTTCCTGTTATACAATGAAAGTTGTGAGGAAGGTAAGATGGATAAGGGATTTGGATCTTGTGGCAATAGAGGAGGGTAGGAAGGGTACTGCATGGGTAGTTGTACATGGTGGTAGTGGCGACGGAAGTTGTCAAATTGTTGGGGAGAAAATGAAGGGATATTATTATAAGGGTTGGAGAAAAGGTCTCTATGGGAAGAGAAGAGATGACTTGGGTCCAGCTGCTGCCTTCTTGCAGCAGCAACAGTCTCATCTTGTATCATGTGAGACTCAATGTGAGTTATGAGACCTTGAGTGCTTGTGAAAACCTGATTGCATATTCTACAAGCGATTTGGTTTGGAACGCTGGGAAGAATAAATGATCGAGTCTGCCTTGCTTGGCTAAATTGGTCATGTTGCATATTGTTCACACGCCTCAAGTTCCATCCAAACGCAGCCATGGCTAAGAAATCTTAGGGAGAGAAAGAGAAGAGAGAAAAGAAAAAGAGAGGAAAAATATATGATTGAATAGGGTCGGTTTTGGCTGCTATTCAATTTATAGGGGAAAAATAAAGCTTATTACCATGTTTAGACTTTAGAGTTTAATTATAAGATTTAGTTCCATAGTATACAGCCACCCATATTAATTTTTTCTTTTTTGAATAATTAAATGCATATAATCTTGGGAGAAAAAATGTAGATATATAAATTAATAAGGTGGGCGTTTCTAGGAAGAAATATGATTTTTTTTTTCTTTCTAGAATCTAATGCACTAAGGTTGAAGATTTCTAAGGTCTATATGAAATTGATAATAATAAATTTTTTCCAAAATTATTTTCCAAATTCAATGGTTTACCTGTTTGATAAAAATAGAAAAGTACATAAATTTGGTAGCATTGTGCTGTTTTCTCCATGACCCACTATTTTGTTGTATGTAAATTACTTCTTTTTATCAGATTTAGTTGTTTTAATTTGATTTTAATATAGAGTTTGGTTTGATGATTTAATATAGTACTTATTTCATTTTAGAATAATATATATTTTTTATTTTTATCTTAGGATTAAAGATTTGAAGATAATTTATATTTTTATTCATTTTACTATTAAAAAAAGAAATGAAAATAAAAAAAAAATTTCTGATAAAATGGATAATTAAAAGTTCAAGATAATCATGAAGTTAAACTAGGAAAAAAATTGTCTCTATTAAAAAATGAAAAAAATGACTATTATTTTAAAACAAATCTCAAATAGAAAAATATATATTATTTTAGGATAGAAAGAGTAAATGAATAATAATTAAAAAAAATTTATTTAAGTGAAAATACTCAACAAATATTACTTATAGAAAGAAAAAAAAATTTAATTGTCATTTATATAGTTACTATATTCTATATATATAATAATTTAATCCAATTTTTTTAAAAAATTAAATTAGGATAACTAAATCTGAAGAAGAGTAATGCTGATGTGCATTAAATCTTATTTTTTCACGGAAAAATGACATAATGGATTCTCTCTTTACCACCTACAATGATATTTATCCTAGGATCTAATGATAAGATTTCTTACCATGACTAAAAATAAATTTTGATTTTAATTAAGGAACAAAAAAAAAAGGTTAAAGGATTAACCCTCCTTTAATTCCCATTTATTTTTATGGTGTCCCAGTCATCATCACCGAAAGGTAATTGCTGTCATTACCATATTAATTGAATCAGATTACTAATGAGACCAATGTAGGCAAGTTTTTGTCATTACTTAGCTAGCACCAACCAAGTTCTTGTCATTCACTAAATATGACAAAAAAATATACTCATTAAAATTCATCCTTTTTAGTACTGTTATTCTAGATACATAATCAAGATTAATAAAAGTCATTTATATTAAAAAGGTAAAAAGGGCAAATCCACCCTGTAATCAATTGAATAGTGACAAATTGGCTTCTGAATTAAAAATAGATGCAAATCAGCTTCTAAACTTATCATATGGTAGCAAATCAACCCTTCTGTTCTTTCACTAACGACATTAGCAAGATGTTAAATTCAGATGGAGAGATGGTTTCTCGTGGGACCAACACTTACATGGCAATGAGGTGGATAATTGTTTGGTTAAACCCTTACCATGGCTCAATTATTGTACGGATCTCTGAGTTTATCTTTAAACTTATTTTGGTTCTTAATTAAAAGATTGAAAATTTGGTCTTTTTCTGTCATTTATGTTAAAAATTCACCATGGTGGCTAGGGGTGAAGACGGTTCATTTTTTGTTAGAATCAAAACTGAATAATGATTAATTAAAATTTTAGATTTTAAATTTAAATAATCATTAAACAAACCAAAAAATAGATTTTATCAGTTTTGATTGTATTTTTTATGGTGACCATTTAGATCGGCTTGGGTTTTAATAAAAAAATATATTTATATATTTTTTAGTGATTTTTTGAATTCATTAATTATTATTTATTAATTTTATCATTAAAAAATTAAAAATTACTCAAATAAATAAATAATTTAGTAAAAATTGAAGATGTGTATAAGAGATAGGCATAATTCCAGATGCATTCATAGCAGAGAATTCTGATTGACTTGACATTGCTTCGGCTGCTTCTATTTCAAGCCATTGACCAGTTTCATGCTTTCTTTTCCATAATTCCACGAATCT